AAGATGGTGCCAGTACTCTGCTATATTTGCTGAGACCTTGAACAAGTTTCTTATTATCTCTGCCAGTCCCCTCAGATAAAAAATGGGGATTCCAAGAACCAACCTCACAGGATGGTTTGTGAGGAGCAAAATCCAGTTCCTAGTGGTAGCAGTGCAGTTTGCCGAGGAGACCCAGAACTAAGGCAATTAATTCAGCCTTTGGACTTGGAGGCAGGCTTCCAAGAGGAGGTGGCTTTTCGGCAGAGCCTTCCTGGGCAGGAGTGAAGGGTGACCCAGCAGAGGAAACACGATGAAACAGTGGCAACATGAAGGGACAGTTGAGGAGTGAGGAGTAGCTTGCTGGAATGGTGGCGTGGGGTGACTGGAAGAGGGACCCTGACTGGAGGGGCAGACCCTGGAGGCCCAGAAGCCTTGGGCTTTGTCCTGGGAAAGTCTTAGACAGGTTTTCCTGGTGAAAATGATGATGCTAGCAGCTAACATTGTTTGTACACTAACTTTGTGCCAGACACTGTGCTAAGCATGTCACAGGCGTTAACTCATTCTATCCTTGTAAAGCTGCAGGGAATGTCTTGCATACCATTGTTCCCAGTTTCCAGATGAGGAAGCGGAGAGCTTTTAGTAGCTGACCTGAAGAGTAAAGGGAAGTGGAGAGAGCACTGGGTCTGCAGATTAAGAGATGGGTACAAATCCCAGCTGAGTGACCCAAAGGCCACTGTGTTAGAAGGAGTAATGGGGTTCCTGTTTGTTTGTTTTTTCTTCCCAGTAAGCATCTGCAAACATCAACATGTACTTCTAAAAATTTCTTTGATTGGTGAAACCACCAAACAAAATATTCAACCTCTATGAACCTCAGTTTTCTTATTTGTAAAATGGGGTAAGAATATGGGTCTCACACAATATTCCCACTGATGTTCTGAGGATCAGTGAAATTTAAGGATGCAAAAAAAGTTTGGCTCAGTGCCTGGCACTGACCAGTGCTCCATCCAGGGTAAGGTCACAGGAGGCTTGGAGAAGCCTGTGTCCCCATCACTACTATTGGTACCCTTCTTCTTTGCTAGGCTCTCTCAGTCGTATGCAGGGCATTTTGGTAATGTGACCCCAAAACAAATAACTTGCTCCCCCACCTTTATAAGTGAGAAGCCACTATTGCCCTCAGCAAGCATCTGTTGCATATGAAATAGTTTCTTAAAGCTGAAAATTAGTGTGTTTTGATTTTGTTGGTCTCTGCTTTATAGACTGCTTTTGGAATTAGCCACTGCAGCCATCTGAGCAGACCAGCCCCCAGCTCTCTGGGCTCACCTGACCCAAGCTGGGAATGCCCCAGCATCAGTCCAATCTTCCCAGCTGCCCTGGCTCTAGACTTCTGTCTCTGTCCGCCATCTTCACTTGGGAGGCAAGTCTGGGTGCACAATGGGGGCCAGGATCGGGGGGTAGGAAGCAGCAAACAGGCTGGATGTTGAAGCCCTGTAGGCCAGATCAGGAGAGGACCTTGGACCCTGGGGTAAGGCTGGGGCTGTTGTGTATAAAGCAGTAACAGGACCTGAGAGTTATTTTCACTCTTCTAAAGGATTAAGGGTAAAGGTATTCTAGTGAAGAAAACAGATTTCTTCCTGTCTCTGACTTCTTCCCAGAAGCCCCCAAACAGCCCCTCTTTGCCTCACATGACCATGCCTAAACCAAGTATTAGCAAAGAGAATGGGATCCCCTGGATAGGTCTGGGCAATCCCCCTGTGCTAGAATGGACACTGGTGGTGGTGGTGGTGGGGTCCCCTACAAAGACTGCACAACCAACCAAAATAGGAAAATAAATTAATGTTTGTTTAATACTATTTAGTAGACAAAATCTAGGTTGACTTTGGAGGAGTAAATGATCAGAGATGACTGGCCCTGCATCCTAAGTTTATGGATGGGGCTCCTGAAGCCTAGAGTAGGAAGGGATCTTGCCTGGGCTCACATAGCAAGTAATGGCAGAGCTGGGGCTAGAACCCAGGTCTGCTGGCTCCCAACTCTTTTCCCACTGGGCCCTGCCACTGCCCTGCCACACAGAGTGACACCTGTGAGGATGAAGGAGTCTCTGTAAGGGTTCTGGTGTTGGCTGGGCTCTGGAGAGAAAGGCCAGAGGCTGACCCAGGGACTGCAGCCTCCTTCTCTGGGGCTCCTGCACCTTTGGCTGTGGTTGCATCCCAAAGGCCACTGTGCTAGAAGGAGTAATGGGGTTCCTGTTTGTTTGTTTTTTCTTCCCAGTAAGCATCTGCAAACATCAAGTACATGAAGATTTTTAAAGAAACTAACCAATCCTGTTTGTTTGTTTTTTCTTCCCAGTAAGCATCTGCAAACATCAAGTACATGAAGATTTTTAAAGAAACTAACCAGAAACCACCAAACAAAATGCAAAACCCCTGATTCCACTGTGCTCTGAAGAAAATGCAATGGGTTTATGATCTTTTAAGACACACAAGAGACAGCTTTCTCTTGACAGATGGGAATCTGAGGCTATTTTGCTTCCTCCTCCTTTGCGTGACCAGACCTGACTGTGTAAAGCTTTTAGCTTCAAAGCCGGGTTGTGAATAACATTGGTTTAACCTGAAATTTAAAGCCAGTATTTCTTTGCTCCCCGAGACAGGGCTTCCTGCCCCTTGCTCCCCTGAAGCTAGCTTCCAGAATGTTAATTCTATGAGACATGGTTGAATAAGCCCAGCACTGGGTCTATTACATATTATTTGATTTGGAGTAGAAAAAAAGATTTAAAGATACCATGCCCCCTATATACCTTTGTACTCTAGCCCATGTCTGTCCATATATTTAAGCATACCATTCACATTGCCAAGTTCAGACTTCTCTCCTTGGAATAAGATGGGTCTGAGTGTTTCTGTAGCCTGTTTCCAAGACCACAGTCCCCAATGAAGTCAGACAGCATCTTTGTGGCACAGATAAAGATGCTATAGAAGCTTCCCCTGGAGGCCTGGAGGTTCAGACCTATCCTTGTGCCAGGGGTGATTTTCTGATATCCATTTTTGTAGCTATTTCTGAGCGTCTAATTGGTTGGTTTGACTCATACTCATTGTGCACCCACTGCATGCAGCACCCAGAGGTAGGTCAGCTGTGTCCCTGGCCTGAGAACTCTGCACCTTTTTGTCAGAGTATTTATCTTGGTTGACACTTGCACCTTTTCTGGTCTAATTATTTTTCAATTAACATTTTCCTTTTCCACTGAACATAACTCCATGAGGACAGGGCTAGGCAAGCTTTTCCCCTTCACTGTATGCCTGGTGTTAGCACAGTGCCTATTCACTAAGGCCGGTTGAGGGAAGAATGAATGACTGAATGAATGAGGTCAGGCGGAGAGATCCTGACATTTGCACACCAGACCTGCAGAGTGGAGGCGGTTGTCACAGGTATTACTAACTTGTGGACTTATTCCACAGACATTCCTGTGGAAGAGACAGAGACGAACTAACAGTGTTTTTTCCACCCAAGACAGCCTAATAGTACAGGATGAGAGGGAAGGGCCCAGGGACTTGACTCCTGTTCACCATAAAGGAGAACGTGGTCAGAGCTCCAAGAATGGGAGAGAAGCAGCTGGGGCATGAAGGAAGGCATCCTAGAGGAGGCAGCCTGGGTGTTTCACAGGCTGCATCTGTCCTGGCAGCAGTGCACACACATCAGTAAGAAATGGTTTCCTCTTCCATATGGGCTGACAGGCTGACTCCATGTACCACTTTCAAATGCTCACAAAGGCAAAACTCGTGTTGTCCGTCTTTCCAATAGATTAGGCTTGGGAGTAGGGCTTAGAAAGCACAGCCTGATCTAAAGGAACTAATGATTCAGGCTCTGGCACTGTAGAGGGGTGATTGTTTCTCTAGCCCCCTTCCAAGTCTTCCCATTGCTAACCCAGAAGGCTCAGCCACTATCCATGGCTTCCTGTGGCCTCCAGGGTTGCTTGGCCTGACCTCGGCCTGCCTCTGCAGCACCTCCTTGGGTCTGTTCCCCTAACCCCTGTTCCTTTCATCTCTGGGCCTTTGTACAGGCAGTCTCATCTGCCTTACATGCCCTCTCCACCCGGACCCTCTGCCCTGCTGACCCCTTGTCCTCTACTCTTAGTTCAAGCATGACTTCCCCTTAGAAGGCTCCCCTGATTTCTCCCTGTGAGGTCCCATCTCCTCCCCCATTGTACATGGTCTGATGCATATTTCTAGACACTTTTTCTATTTAGCAGTAGTCACAATTTGTACCATATGTCTGTTTGTATGAGTACTTAACTAAAGTGGGCTGCATTTTCTAGTTTGGAAAGATGGGCCTGTCTTGGTCACCACTGTATCCTCTGTCTTTTTAAAAATATTACTTGGTACAGAATATTTTATCAGTGTTTATGAAATGAATGAAAAAATGATGATATGTTTATGAGTGTCCCAAGCCATCTTAAGGAAATGACAGACTTTAGGCACTTGTGCAAAGTGTCAGGGTGTACCTCTCCTTCCTCCACAGTAGAGAAAGCAAGTAGAGGTGCTAGCTGGGAGTAAGGGCATCAGTTCTGGGACAGAACTGTCCCACAGAAACCCCTCTGAGGGGGGTCTTCAATGCAAAAAGGAAGCTGGAAGTGGGGGTGGGTGTGACATGGTGGCATGGAGTGATCAAGCCTCTCAGTTAACCTGAGTTCCAGTCTTCAGGCAAACCATTTAATCTTTCTAGGACTCAATTTTCTCATCTGCAAAATGGAGAAAATACCATTTACATTGGGGTCATTGTGAGGGTTAGGTGAGATGATGCATGTAAAAAGGGCTTCACACAGTGCCTGACAAGTGGCTACGGGAGGCTGGCTCTGCACTCACAAGCAGGGCGACCTTGGCCATGGACCCCTTGTCTGAGCCCCTGCACATGCTGCTTCTCTTGTCGGGGAGGGAGTGGGCTTCATAGGTCTCTCAGACCCTCTTCCCAATCTCAGAGTCTGATAATGTCTTACTTCACCTGCACTCACCCCCCTTCTCTCATGCTCATCAAAGGTATTCAGGAGTCTCCAGTGCCAAATGGTCACTCACTTCCGGGCAGAGATTTCCTCCGGAAGCAGATGCGAGGGGATCTGTTCACGCAGCAGCAGCTGGAGGTGCTGGACCGCGTGTTTGAGAGGCAGCACTACTCGGACATCTTCAGCACCACGGAGCCCATCAAGCCCGAGCAGGTATGCCTCACCACTCACTGCCTGCCAGCCCTCCAGCCAAACACAGGGCTGGCTGGCCACCCCCCTCCCACACCCTGCCCCAGGAAGGCTTCTGGTGGGGTGTGGGTGAGAGAGCCAGGTTCTGCTCAGATGTGGGCTTCTCATTTTTGGCCAGAATTGGCCAGTCGCAGTACCCCATGAGATCAGGAGGACTTGTCTGGGGCTCTGTGGCTTATTGCCCTGGTGCCTCTGCCTTCCCGGCCAGCTGGAAGTGGGGGTGGGTGTGACTTGTCTGGCTGCTCTGCCGTTGCTGAATGGCGTCCCATCCCAGGGCTCTTTGCACAGGGTGGGTATAATGATCTTCTGGGCCACTTAGGGTGGTCTTGGGTTATCATCCTGTCAGTTAGGGTGAAGGTGGGAATATGTAAGCACCCTGAGGCCACAGGCCACGTTATGATGGTAGGGGTGTTTACCCCACTGCCAGCCCTGTCTTCAGGCTGCTCTGTCAAACTTTTAGAGACTGAATCCAAGTGTGTGGAAATGAAGAAGTGTCTCACTGGACAAACTCCCAGCTGGGTCATTGGCAGGAGAGGGAAGGAAGCAGAAGGACGAGCCTGTGCTGAGCAGCCCCCAGTTCTGTCCTGAGCAGAAAAGCAGTCACTCTCCATGGCTGCAGAGATGGCACCAGAAAGGCTCTGTCCAATTTGGACTGGATAAGGTCCCTAAAGTACCAGATTCCACTCGGGAGACTATTTGCTGATGCCCAGCTTGTGCCAGGCCCTGGCTGGTTACCTTGTAGGCCCAGCAGCTCAGCCGTGGTTCCTGCCTGCTGTGAGCTCCCATCCGGCGGGTGAGTCTGAGAGACTGATGAGCGGTGACTGCCCAGCACTTGCTAGCAGGTTCTGCTGGTGAGGACTGGCCTTGCTGCACTCTGTCTAATAATTAGGTGATGCTTCTGAAGTTTTCCCGAAGAACTGCTAAAAACCATGTAGGCTGTATGCCCAAGCTCCTGTGGAGAAGAGAGGGGCTGGAGGGGTCCTTGGGTGATGAGACATGAGCAAGGCCATGGGGCTACCATCCTATGACAGTCTGGCTGTGTCTATCTATGAGGCCTCTCACAGACCATCTTTGTTTTTAGATGGGGAAACAGAGGCCCAGAGAGGCAAAGGGACTTGCCTAAGGCCACGCAGCAAGCCACATATTCACTTAACAAACATTGATGGGTGTATACTATGTGCAAGGCATGGAGCTAGGCATTAAGTACATCAGTGAACAAGACAGGCTTGGACATGCCCTCAGGGAGCCTACAGATATGTGGAAGATTCACAATAAGTAAGAATAACCCAAAGGGTCATGGATCGTAGATGTGCTAAATGTTGAGAAGGGAACGTCTGAGTTTCTCTGACAGGTAAAGCGGAGGCTAAATCAGTTTGGTGGCCACAGTGGCCTCCTGGGGGAAATGCATTTATGCTGAGCCTTTAAGGGCTTGGACAGAAGGGGATGGGGAGAATGTGCCTAGCAGAGGGAATTACAAGCGCAAAAGCCCTGAGGTAAGAGGGAGTATGGCAGAAGTGAGGAATGGAAAGAGCTACATGGCTGGGCTTCAGGGAGCAGGCCAGGCTGGGGGTGATGAGAGGTGATGTTGGGGAGATGCGTCTAGTCCTTTAGACTGTGGTCAAGATTTTAGTCTTTTCTCCTGTAGGTGGAGTGAAGTGTCCTCTGGGAGTGCTGTAATCCTATGTGCTGGACAGAGCTAATCCCACACACTCTATGTTGTGGGCTGTAGGGAGAAGAGTGGTTTCCAGCACAAATCACATCTCCCATTGAGATATGGCCGAAGCCACATCCATCTGAAATACGAGGAGAAAGAAAGGGGACTCGATCAGGAAAACTTTGGATGGGGCCCACCTTTTCCTCCAGAATCTGGGAGAAAATTTATCTTCTAACCATTGATAAGATCATGTAATTTTAGAGCTAGCAGGAATTACAGAAGTATGCTTTCAACCTCCTCATTTTTTAGAAGCCCAGAGAGGTGACAGGGTTTGTCCTGGGTCACCCAGCAAGTGAATGGTGAAGAGTGTGGGCTCAGGACTACACTCAGCCTGGCCTTCACTGCGTGAGGCCTCCGGCATTGATGGTAAGCCCTTACTTAACTCAGACCTTTGCTGTTAGAGACTGTTTCCCTCTGTGTTCCACGTGATTTGCACAGAAACTCAGAATGAGAATTCATTTAGCTTAGAATGCCCAGAAAGACTGGGCAGAGATTATAGGGCTTCATAGTTGGGAGGAGTCCAGAATCCATCTGTATTTACTCACTTGCTCAGCTACTCTTATGCTCATTTATTCAACATATTTCTTGCACACTGGTTATGACCCAGGCATAGTGCCAACCCCAGGAGATTGACAGATGAACCAAGCATCAGCTCTGTCTGCCCGCAGTCTCACAGGGACTGTGTGATGTGGATTCAGAACCTGAAAGGCAAGGGAGAAGGTTCTGTGGGCCCTGATGAATGGAGAAGTTGCCTCTGTTGGGAGCACCAAGAGGGATGCCACAGAGAAAATGTTGGGAGACAGGTCCAACAGGCCCCTGTGCAGCCAGCCTGATGGGTAGGAGACCTGCACGGCCACCTCTGGGAGGACTCTGTTTCCAGCAGTCTCTGTGCAGTGTCCTTCAGAATGACGTGGACACATCTGAGGGTCTTTCTCTGTGTGAGCTCTGAGATGGGGCCTGCAGGGGAGCCACGTGGCAGGATAATGACTCACTCAGTGCTTTCTGGTTAATCTGCTTCACCTCCCCATAATGTGCTGTAATGAGGAGAGATGGAAGGTGAGGCCACGGGGCTGCTGGGCACGCACACAGGCATTGGACTATGAATGACATACCCTCGCTCCCAATTCCCTATCACACTGGACAAATGATAGTCCAAGCAAGGGGTGAAGGCTTGGAAGGGATGCACGCCAAGGGTGCAGGTTTCCTCGAGCCCCTCCTGGCAGTCTCTGCCCTACTTTGTGAGCCCCAGAGCAGCATGGTGGTGGTACCAGGAAGGGGGCCTCTGTTCTGGCCACCGAAGCTGGTACCTCTTCCATCTGTGAGCAGATCTGTGTCTTCAAGGTCTAATGGCCTAGGTGGGGACCTTGCTGTCAGTTTCATTGAGCAGCCTGGTGGGGAATAGAGAGCATTTACTGGCTTTGGAGTTGTTAGAGTTTGACTTGAGTCCTGACTCTACCCTGTTTGGAAAGTTGCTTTTTCTCTGTACCTCAGTTTCTTAATTTGTGGTGCTAATAATCATGATTTTATTACAACATGGCGGCACTGCAGCAACCGCAATAATAACAGTGCCCTTCTTCACGCATGACACTGTGCAGTTTTCAGAGATCTGTCACTGTCATCGTCCCATTGGACTCTCAATTTAAATGCCTGATAAGCAGCCTGGGCAAGACTGATGAGCCCCATTTTACAAGTTGGAACATTTTTTTCCAGATTGTGTACCCCATTTTCAGCACAGAGAGTTTCCAGGACTTATTGAGGCCACAGAGCTGGAATTTGACCTCAGGATCTTCTGTCCCCATCTTGTGCAAGGTGGTCACACAGGACCCCTTGTGCGTGAACAAGTGTAGGAGCCAGTTCCTGACTGGCTGGCCTGCAGAGCAGGCCTTTTGTAGCCAGAGACTGCCCGTCATTCTAGAACCCTGAGTCTTGCTGTAGACCTGGGTAGTCACATCCTCCTAAATCACCCTCCCAACTGCCCATGAATGGGCACAAGAGGAATGAAGAACATTTCTCTTCAGGGCCAGGGTGGGGTCCTGCCTGTCACTTCCATGAGACAAGAGCCCACACCAACGTGTTGCTTTTCCTGCCAAGAGCTGCTCTGGGTTGGTGGGCCCATGCTTTTTGCTTTTATAGGAAAACTTAGTAAACCCTTGACTCTGGGTATAATGTATACACATTCTTAGAGCAATGAGACACTTCCTTTTCAAAATAGTTATTGAAAAAGAAATTCTGTTTTCCCTACATGTGGAGTGAGTAAAGATCACCTTGGAGGAGAAGAGGGGAAAAAAAGAAAAGAAACAGCTGCGGATTGCATGTATGTGTGTGTGCCTGCTTGCGTTTCCAGCAGTGGAATCTGTTTCAGTAAAACTCGCGTTGATGCTGTCGTCTAGGCTACTGGTGGGAGCTGGTCCCTCCTCTGGCCGCAGCAGGAAGGCCGCTGCGGAGCACAGCCTGCCGTATTTACTCTCGGCAGACTATTAACCAACACCAGGCTATTAATCTGGCTTTTGAGCCTTCACTAAAGCCCATAAAAGCTCACAGTTGTCAAATGGAGTTCATTTTAATTTCCTTTCAATCACAGTAAATTATTCAGGTGATAAATCAGTTGGAGCAGCCTCCTGGCTGTAATAGAAACCCTAATTCCTGGCTAATTATCCAGCCCATTGCTGCCAACAGATCAATACGGGCACAAAATGGAACGGGCCTAGGGCCCTCCCTCCCATTGGGCCAGAGACAGAAAGACAGCTGGGGAAGAGGGACATGCTGTTGACCTCCCTGGAAGTTCAAAGGTCATGGGGGGTTAAACTGGGAGAAGGCCTGTCCCTTGTCTAACAGAGAAAGCCACCAGAAATGCCTCCCTCACTCATAAACTGGTTTGCCCTCTAAATGGTAGCATTTCTCCAGGCTGGTGGGCCAGGGACCGAGCATTGCCTGCTCCTGTGTGTGTCCTACTCCTGGAAGGGATTAGTTTGTGTGTCTGAATATGACTGAGCTTGGTTATCAGGGATGGGCTGAACACCTATCTGAAAAAGGGCTGGGGATTTTGCAGAGAAAGATGAGGTGCTGGACACACTTCCTTTCTTTAGGGAGCTCATTTTCCTCCACAGTAGGTCCCTGCCCACTGAGAGGAGGTGGGGTAGGGAGAGGAGACAGGTGTGCCAGTCTGAGAGAGGGTGAAGGCTTCCTGGAGGAAGTGCTATCAGTGCTGCATCTTGAGGCGTGGTCAGAATCCAGGTCCGTGGAGATGGCA